AAAAATGAAAACCCAACATTTGAAACATCAATTTGAATACTTTTCGAAGTGAATTTGAAAAACTCATGAATTAAACTCAACTTTATTTTGTTTAAACTTGCATTTGCTGTAATAACCCAAATTGAGGAACATTCCCCAACGTGAGGTTGAGTGCATTAATCCCTAGGGTGAGATCCTTTATTTTGTTACTTCTCCTATTGAGGCAACCACTGAAGAGGGTAGACAATTCCAGAACATTGACACTGATTTCTTTTCATAGTGGCAGTTCCTATTCAATACTTTTATTGATTTTATTCATCCATTAATTTCAAGGTTCGGAATGCAAACCCCTATTGAAACTCACAAGTAAACTGTATTCCTTGTTTTTTTGGTATGTACTTATGATGCACTATCTGCAACTTTTGGTGTAGTAACGAATATTACTGGAGTTTTTTTCGCAACATCATAAATGTTATTATTAGGATTGAACTGTTTAATAACAGTTTGGTGTGGAGAAAAAACTTCACTAATATTCATTGGTATGCTCAAATTGTCTGATATCCCAGTATATCTAAATTGTTTCACAGTAACGACTGTTGAAAGGGGGTACAGTATATCTGTAAATTTTTGTAGAAGTTTCCTAAATGGGAACTTTCACTTGGGTAACCATTTTCAGTATCGATGATTGAATTTAAAAAAAAAATGAAGAACTGTTCTATACCCCGCAGAACTCCGCAAATCAAGACCTAGTCATTCCAGCTGGGCACAAATACTACTTTCTTGCTCTAAATCAAGAAAAGAGTAACGAATCATCAAAAATTAACACGTTTAATGAGAGTCTCTCTGTACATAAAACAACATACATATTGATACCAACCCATAAAACGAATTCCAACTATAATATGATGAATCAGGAAAAAGCTCTTTAGTTTCTTCTCTGAACTCTTTGCAGTTTATTGTGCGCTTTAGATACTTTGGTAGTTGGTAATACATCATGAAGCTATAATACACAACTGAATTTTCAATGAAGGTAGATGAGGGGATAGAAAGCTATACATTCACAGTGTATCGTGTGACATAATCCTGCATAATACTTTCACCATCAACGCTGGTATTCCCCAGGGATCCATATTGTTTCCAATCTTTTTTTATTATATATCAACGACTTATTGGAAAAAACCAAGGATCCAATAAATTGCTTTGCTGACGACAGCACACTTGTCTCGTCATTCCATTCTGATTCCAGGATATCGGCTGCGGAAGCACATCTTCACCGGCAGCAGGTAGTTGAATGTCTTAATTTGAATCTAGAAATAATTTCGAATTGGGGTGGAAGTAACCAGGTTCAATTCAGTGACACAAAAACACAGGCATTGATTTTCTCCATGAACAGGCACTACAGGCTTTCAGACTCGATCTTCAGCAAGAGGATTGGTCGCAATTGTACAATATTATTGACTGTAATTCTGCATTTAATTATTTCCACGACATATTTCTTCACCACTTCAATATAGAATTTCCTTTATTGCTGCGTTTCAAAAAACATAAAACTAGAGACTGGGTGACCCCAGAGGTGAAATGCTCTAGCTTGAGATTGAGGGAATACTTCAACCTTCAAAAAATGTATCCGGAACTTAAAAAATCATATTCGACTATGAAAAAGATGCACAAATTGCTCGAAAAAAACACCAAAAAACAATTCTATCAAGCTAGAATTGAGTCTAGTAGTAATTTATCAAAAGAAACATGGAAAATGGTATCTGAATTACAAGGTTCAATATTTAACAATATGTCAAATTTTGAAATCACTACGTCTAGCGGTGTTGTAACTAAAGACCCCAACATTATTGCAAACGAATTCAATTCTTTTTTTATAGAAACTCCTCGAAAATTGGTCGAAGATTTAGACGTGACAACGTATAATACTGGCTCTCTGGTGAATGAATCATCTTCAAGATTTTACTTATACCCGTTTAGTGAGAGTGAATTTTTTGAATTAATGATGAAGAAGCTGAATAATAAAAAGTCGTCAGGGAACGATGACGTATCCGCATTCATGCTCAAAAATACGCTGGACATATTAGTAAAACTTCTTGTTTTTCTTATCAAATTAAGTTTTTGTTCTGGTGTATTCCCTGAAAGATTGAAAATAGGCAAAGTCGTACCTATTCACAAAAAAAATAATAAACAGTTGATGAATAACTACAGACCCGTAACAGTAACATCAGTTTTTTCAAAATTTGTAACCATCACCAATGTAATTAATGGTAAAAAAAGAATAATGAACTCTCAACGGATACCTCTATCACTCGGAGTACCACAAGGTTCAGTCTTGGGACCTGTACTATTCCGAGTATATATAGATAAAATTGACGAATCTGTTCCTGATGCAAAGTGTGTGAAATTTGCTGATGACGTTGCCACGATTGTAACAGGCTCCGACCAAACAAGTATACAACGAAAATGCGAGCAAACAATGAGATCATTGAACTGGTGGTTTTCCAGTAATTCGCTTGTTTTCAATCCAAATAAAACAGTAATTATTCAATTTTGTAATTATCAAAAAATTCATGACCCACTATATATTGATGTGAATAATCAGCTGCTTCCATTGTCAAAAAGTACTAAGTTTTTGGGTGTTGAAATTGATAAAAATCTTAATTTTAAAGTTCATTGTGATGGCCTTATATCAAAATTGCATTCTTTAGCATTCAAGCTACGAAATCTTAGCTATATTCTCAGTCTAGATCAACTAAAAATTATATACTATGCTGAAGTGGAGTCGAGATTGCGCTATGGTGTACGTTTCTGGGGTTGGTCAACCAACGCAGGTACAGTTTTTTTGGCTCAAAAAAACATCATCAGAAGTATCACTGGTATAAGTTACATGGAGTCCTGTGAACCTTTTTTCAAGAAATTACAAATACTGACTTTACCCTGCTTGTACATAATGGAAATTTGTGTCTACGTTTTTCAAAATAAAAGTCAATTTCCTTTAATAGGCTCTACTCATACAATTAACACTAGGCCAAAAAAAATATATCAAGTTCCTCTAGCTCGAGGGCGGATTGCTCTTAAAGGTCCTAATGTTGCAGGTCCTCGTTTGTTCAATATTTTACCAACTGAAATAAAAGAAAGCAAAACATTAGAGATGTTCAAAACAAAGATTAAACATTTTTTAGTTCTGAATGCGTATTACAGTGTTGATGATTATTTAACGTAAGTGTATGTGTGGTGTGTGCATGCGTTTTCGTGTGTGCTTCTAGTTTTAGTGTAGTAGTTTATAATTTTAGCTTTACTGACTATTCCTAATACAATTACTTATGAAATTGTCGAACAGTAAAATGAAGGATTTGATTTTGATTTGATTTGAAGATGAATGTCTTCGAACCGGATATAATGATGTCAGGTCAGACAATTCCGCTTTCTGCTTCGATAAGTTTGTTGAGAGTTAAAATCATGTCGCTGGAATTAAGAAAGCCGCTTTTCAAAAGCTTGGAACACTGGAAACAGAAAACTGTACACACCTCAGCCACTTTTGATGCTTTATGAAGCTCATATCAGACCTTCTTTGGAGTTTTGTTCTCATGTATGGAGCTCCGCCCCCAAACAAATCTTGAAGCCATTCGCCTGATTGGAAATCAGGAAATTTTCAAAGGACTTGCCACAATTGATTCCACCAAGAACGGTGCATGTCAGAAATACGCGACGGACTGTGGCTGCTCATCGTTATGAGGTTCAACTCTGTACACCACGAACTCCACTGTTTAAGAACTCTTTCATTGGAAGAACGGCGTTTATGTGGAATAAACTTTCTGAGAACGTTTTTTCAAATGGATTGAATCTTCAGCTATTCAAATCGAATGTGAATCATTACTTTCGCACAGGCACCGCTCTAAGAGCGCCTGAAGGATTTTCCAGTAGTGCTTGTGTTTTTTCCTTAAACAAATATGTTTTTCCGTTAACCAGCTATCGCCCCCATATGAAGGACAAGTCTCAAAAGTCCGAAATTTGTTAGAGCTAAGAACTAACTAGGTCTTACTTTTTAAGGTATGATTCCTAACACGGAAATGAGGGAGGTCTGTTCAATGCTAATTTACTAGATAAACACTCTCCAAAATAAAAACAGCTTACACTAATAAAATTTTGTTTGCAATAAACAAAGACCTGCTAGAATCACGCCACCTGACCTTGCAGATGAATCTCAATGCCCTCTTTTGAAGAACAAGAAAGGGGTGGGTGTATCTCAGGTGACATTTTTCCAGAGGATGATACATAGGTATTACTCATTTCTAGTTCGTTAGATGGAAGCTAACTGAAAAGATGTTTTGTTCCAATTCAGATGGTTTATCAACATTACTAAATGCAATATTTCGTGAAATAAAAAATATCGCTTTGACAATTATTTATTTTTCTTGAGGTACGCACCCTGTTGCAATGATAGCCTCTCGAATGTCTTACAATGTAAAGAAAAAGAATTATTTTGACACATCTTGCAATCTATGCTTATACTTTTTGTTGGTATTTATCGCTAGAGGATTTTAGTATTAATACCAACAGCTTTTACTACTCCAGGAACTATATACTCCACTTTACGGTAGCTTGTGGAAGGTGTTGTGTGAGGTGTTGAGTTGAGATTTTATTATCCAGAATTGTTATCATTTTGTCATTTGTTAGAATTTGTTTATATGCCAATGAAATGAAGGTTGCAATTCAGATCGAAAACTGGATAATGTGATTACATTTTGACCTTGTAGGGGTTGACAAATGATGATAATGCCTCAGCTTGCAATATACATTTTTTCATTGGTTGATATGAGTGCGTCGCAGACATATCTTCTGTGTTGAAGTATAAATAAAATTCTTCAATTTCTACAGAACTAGATTCTAGAGTATTTCACACAATACCTCAACAACCAAGCCCCTGTTTTCATTTGCTAAATACAAAAGACATTCATATTTTCCTTTCGACTATCCTTGTTGTTTCATTTCATGTAGTAATCTTGTTTTCTTATTTTCAGGGGAACTGTACTGAAAGAGTATGCCGAGTTTTGGTCAGAGATGGTATCCCAACTTGCAGCGTAGTGTAATTACTTTGTTTTGTGTCATTAAAATTGAATTTCCACCTCAGTGACTGCTGTTCCTTTTTGTGCAACCAGAGTGAAATGGGAGCTTTACGTTGGAGTTGATGTTTATTTTAGATCCTTTAAGTGCTTTCCCAATTATTTATTGTCGCTGGAATACTCCTCACTGGAAACCGGACGACAATTATTCATAAAACTATGATGGAGCCATTAAATTTTTTAAAAATGTATAAGAAATTGCATAATGCCAGAGTATATAAAACTATTGTTTTCTATAATCATTACCAATAAAATGTACAGTTTGTTAATTGCTTTTTATATTTTCGTGTCAGTGGCTGCTCCAGACAACAGATTGATAGTTTTACTATTAAAATATGACAAAATTCATACTGCAAAAAATGTGTAAGAAATTAAAATAGAAGATTTTATGGACAAACGTTCATTATTGATTTAAATGGTTGAGGCGGACTAAACTTGGTATACGGAAGACTCAAACGCCAAGGCGACAATTAAGGTGCTCAGCTCCTACCAAGTCTTTTTGCGACTTGTAGAAAGCTATCTTAACGCACTCAATGAGCTAGGTTGTCACATTAGGCTTACCTTAGCCTGGTTACCCGGACACGATGAATATAAGAGCATTGAGGAGGCCGATACTTCAGCTTTAGCCCATCAAGGTGCCTTGAATGGACTGGTTAAGACAAGCTTGAAGATATCTTTCCATTCGTGGAGCTTTCAGTAATGAGGCAGGTGAAAATGAAAGAACCCTCGCCAAAATTCTTGAGAGACCTGCAAAACCACAACCGCGAAGTTGTAAGGGAAAGACCTACAATTATTGCATTTCTCGAAAAATACAAGATTCTAACCGATTATCAACATGGTTTTAGAAAAGCTAGATCAGTTGAGACTGATATTGCTAGAAAATTCAAGTTTATTTACAATGAAATCGATAAAGGAAAGTACGTAGTTTCAATATTATTTGACTTGGCTAAGGCGTTTGATTCGGTAAATAGTGACATAATGGTTAGTAAGTTATATTACATAAAACATTTTATGGCAGATAGGAAAATGGTAGTGACTGTAAATAATGCAGTATCCGATATTAAGATATTATCTTCCGAAGTATATAAAACAAGGTGTCATTATTCTATTCGCAGATGACACTACCATAACAGTTTCCGGAAATACTGCAGAGGAGCTGGAAAACAACATCAATTCAGTCATGGATGACATGCTTTCTTGGTGTGATACAATTCAACTAAAACTGAATGAAAGTAAAACAGTACATTTAGGCTTCACGTTAAGGAAAACAGTGAAACTCAACAACATCCAACTCTCGGAAACAGCCAAACTCCTTGGTATATTTATAAATTAAAACTTGTCTTGGGAGCCCCATATCGATCATGTCTGCAAAAAATTTAATCAAGCCTTATTTGCAATACGACAGATCAAAGACGTGCTCAGTTTAGGTGGTATCAGGCGTACTCACATATGGCTTAAAATGTATTAATGTGGGGTTCTTCTGTGGAAGCAAAACGTGCTTTTATTGTTTAAAATAGAATAATTAGAACTATCTTTACTATTGCACCCAGGGATAGCGGTAGACCTGCTTTCTGCAAGAACAAGATGCCGTGTATCCATGTGCTTCATGTGAAGAATAATGCACCCAATCTGAGAGATGAATCAATAGTTCATAACAATGCAACACGAAATGGACATTTATCAACTATCCCAAAACATAAAACATCGAAATTCAATTCAATTCAATATAATGGCATAATATTATTTAATACGTTGCTTCAAGATTTCAAAGATTTTCATATTATACCATTTAATAAACAAATAAAGGAGCTATCAAATAATAGAATATTATAGCGTAGAAGAATTCTTAGAACGGGATACACTGTTATCATGATCATTGCTTTCACTGCATTTCTTTCATCCTAGTTAAAGATAAATTTACTTTATGTATATTTATGTATGTGTATACATATATGTGTGTATATGTGTTTGTGTTATTTTTTTATATATGTATATAGATAAGTACCTGTTTCAAGTGTCCGATCTATGTTATACTGTGGACCGTTATTATTGTTTCAAATAATTTTCATATTTTTATTTATGACATGTCTTATATCANAGACACAAAATTACGCAGATTCCATATAACGAAACAATGTGTCGCTAATTTCTTCAGTATGAAATCAACATGATGATTCCAATTGAGTTGGTAATCAATAAAAACTCCTAAAAATTTTTTATAGTTTACCTGTTCAATACTTTTAATCTCAGACCTAACCAATACACTACAATCAGTTTCCTGAATTGTAAAGAGAATGGGGTGGGTTTTAAGATTATTTAAAATCAAACCATTTTTAGAACAATAATTTTTAAGTACCTGTCTTGAGTGTCCGATCTATATTATACTATGGACCGTTATTATTGTTTTATATAATTTTCATATTTTCATTTATGACATGTCTTATATCATGTAAATGATCGAAAAGACGAATAAAGTTATTATTATTGAACCATAACCGCGAAGTTGTAAAGGTATTGGTGTCTCTACTAAGGGATCATTAGCGAAAGAAACTAAATGCAGGTTCTGCCAGGAGAAACAAGAAACCGCACTACATGTGTTCTGTGAATGCGAAACTTTAGCAAGGCTAAGGCATGGGAGATGTGGAAATGAGAAACCAGATGCTATAATCTATATGAAGGGGCCAATATCAAGGCTTTGGAGTCTCATCAAAGAGATGAAGCCAGATGGACTTTATGATAACCAAGGAGTATCACAATAGATCTGTAAAGGTCGCAGTGAACCTGGCCGCATTTCAGCTCCCTTATTAATCTAATCTAATTACTGATTTTTTGGGCAATCAGAATATGACTAATGATTTTCAAACAATTTCGCTGTTAAAATCCTCACTTGTTCACTTTGTAGTAAATGTTCAAGAGGTAGCAAAACATATGTGATTTTCTGGAACTTATATTATACATATTATAATGAAGTATGAAATGATTAGAAGAACATATTTCACTATAAATGTTCCTTTTGTTTTGTAATGAAAGCTGCAGAGAATAACAAAGCACGAATTCCATTCGAAGGTCGATGATGAAAATTAGTGATAGTGGGTTTAGCTAAAAAAACGGCCTGTATATACAAAGCACTCAGGCTAAAGTTTTTGTCTCATTGGCCTCTTCAATACGGGGTAGCTAAATGCACGAAAAGCAACAATTAGTTGCAGAAAACAATACCAATTCGCTGAAAAAATGTCCTGTATATATGAAGGACACAGGCTTGAGTTTTTATCTCAGTGGCCTCATCAATACGGCGTAGCTAAATGCAAGAAAAGAAACAGTTAGTTGCATAAAACAATACCAATCAGCTAAAAAAACGCTCTGTAAATACAAAGCACTCAGGCTTGAGTTTCTGGCTAAGTGGCCTTATCAATACGGTGTAGCTTAATGGAATGAGGATCTAGAAGTAATTTCAAATTGGGGTGAAAGTAACCAGGTTCAATTCAATGCCACAAAAATCCAGGCATCAGTTGTGTGTTCAGCTAAAAAAACGGCCTGTATATACAAAGCACTCAGGCTAAAGTTTTTGTCTCATCGGCCTCATCAATACGGCGTAGCTTAATGCACGAAAAGCAACAGTTAGTTGCAGAAAACAATACCAATCCGCTAAAAAAATGTCCTGTATATATAAAGAACACAGGCTTGAGTTTTTATCTCAGTGGCCTCATCAATACGGCGTAGCTAAATGCAAGAAAAGGAACAGTTAGTTGCATGAAACAATACCAATCAGCTAAAAAAACGCCCCGTAAATACAAAGCACTCAGGCTTGAGTTTCTGGCTGAGTGGCCTCATCAATACGCCGTAGATAAATGCAAGAGAAGGAACTGTTAGTTGCAGAAAACAATACCAATCCGCTAAAAAAATGTCCTGTATATATAAAGGACACAGGCTTGAGTTTTTGTCTCAGTGACCTCATCAATACGGCGTAGTTAAATGCAAGAAAAGGAACAGTTAGTTGCATAAAACAATACCAATCAGCTGAAAAAACGCGCTGTAAATACAAAGCACTCAGGATTGAGTTTTTGACTCAGTGAACTAATCAATACGGTATAGCTACATGCAAGAAAAGGAATAGTTAGAAAACGATACCAATCAGCTAAGAAAACGGCCTGTATATACAAAGCAATCATACCTGAATAAATGCAAGAGGAAGAACAGTTAGTTGCAGAAAACAATACTAATCGGCTGAAAGAACGGCCTGTATGTACAAAGCATTCAGGCTTGAGTTTTTGGCTCAGTGGCCCCATCAATACGGTGTAGCTACATGGAAGAGAAGGAACAGTTAGTTGCAGAAAACAATACCAATCAGCTGAAAAAAACGGCATGTATGTACAAAGCATTCAGGCTTGAGTTTTTGGCTCAGTGGCCCCATCAATACGGTGTAGCTACATGGAAGAGAAGGAACAGTTAGTTGCAGAAAACAATACCAATCAGCTGAAAAAAACGGCATGTATGAACAAAGCACTCAGCCTTGAGTTTTTGGCTCAGTGGCCTCATCATTACTGAATAGCAAATGCAAGAGAAATTTATCAAAAAACCATCAATACGAATACTAAATCAAATGAATACGTTTGAAACCTGCTTTTCCATCAACCAACTGTCACTCTCTACGAACGACAACCCACAAAAGTCGAAACTTGTGCGAGCTAAGGAATAACGAGGTGCGATTCGTAGTTACTTGCTTTAAGCTTTTCATACACATTATGCGACATGCGTGATGAAGAAAGGTAGCAATTTTGTGGACATTGTTGATGGGCTGGGGCATCCAGGGTGAGCGTCGCAATTCACATCTTCCCGACCTTCTGTAAAGAGCTTGTACCACTTGTAAACATTTTCACCACCAAGTACAATCACCGTATGCCACTGTCAACATTTCAAGTGTTTTCGAGCACTCAATTCCATTCGATGCAAATTCTTTGATCTATATTTTTCGCCATATAATCGCCACACACAGAACACTCCTAACTTTTATGCCTCTCAACAAAATTAACATGCTAAACAGCTGAAACTGCGAACATATGTTCAAGACGACTGCACCAACATGAGAAAACTAAGATATCGCTAATTGAATGTACGTATTCCGCAAAATTCAAACTTTCACCTTATTTTTTTAATAGTCCACTACCCGTACAAAGTCGGGCCACTTATTTGTTTATAGGTTCAAATACGATAGTATGAGCCTAGAAACGAAGTTTCTGTATTGAAGTCGAAATTCCATATTTGCATCGAA